TCACAGAGCTCTGATGAAGAATGATGAGCTCACAAAGCTCCAACAAAGAATGACGAGCTCACAAAACTCCAATGAAGAATGACGAGCTCACAGAGCTCCGATGAAAAATGATGAGCTCACAAAGCTCCACACAAAGAATGACGAGCTCACAAGCTCTGATGAAGAACGACAAGCTCATAGAGCTCCGATGAAGAATGACGAGCTCATAAAGCTCCAATAAAGAATGACAAGTTGATAGAGCTCTAACAAAGAATTACGAGCTCACACAACTCCAACAAAGAATTACGAGTTGACATAGTGCAAACAAAGATTTACGAGCTCGCAAAGCCCCAAAAAGAACGATGAGCTGACAACATCCAATGAAGAACGACGAGCTGAGAAAGCTTAGATAAAGAATTACGAGCTGAGACCTTACATGAGTGGGCTCCCACAAAGAATTACAACTAAGACCCTACATGGGTAGGCTCTCACAGAATTACAAGCTGAAATCCTAAATGGGTTAGCTCCAGATAATCCTGAATACTCTAACCTGATAGGTCCAGCAAAGAATTACAACCTCATAGAACAAGTTGAGACCCTACATGGGTAAACTCCTATGAAGAATTATGAGTTGAAACCCAACATGGGCGAGCTTCAATAGAAAATTTGAGCTGAAATGCTCCACTCACAAAGCTCAAAGCTCCTAAAAATGATCAAGTAAATTCCTTCTCCAGCTTTATTTATGAGTGGCTAGATTCTTTCTCCATCATTTGCTCCTGAGTCAAGGCAAGGAGAAGTTAACATTGTTCATCCATTAGCTATTGGCTTTTCATCCTGTTTGCTTTACAAGTGCTTAGGCCCATCAGTTGTTAGCTTCTCAGGATCTCAGCTTTTCAGCTCATTTGTCTATGAAAACTCATTCAATCATAACTCTATGGAGCACAACCCTCAAAGGGTTTAATTTCTATGTTGTGACTTGAGAGGCTAAGATTTTCATTTAAACATCCCAATGAGGGATCTCAAGGCAGACATCTCCAGCTGCCAAGTTGGCATTCAATCTATCAGCTTTACCAGAGATCATTTAGATCTTAGCTCTACAGAGCGTGATCTTTAGAGATTTGGGTTATACATTATGGCCCATGAGAAATATCTTCGGGTCATCGCTTTCAGGTCGTCAAGTTCCAAGACGACATTCTTTGTTATCCCTCATGACATCAAGTTCAAGCATGAAGATCTGAGAAATATCTTTTGGGTCATCACCCTTAGCTTCTTGGTTTCCAGGTCGTCACTCCTCAATTTCCCAGTTCCAGGTCGTCACTCTGAACTTCCTGGTTCCAGGTCGTCGCTCTCAGCTTCCTGGTTCCAGGTCGTCGCCCTCAGCTTTCTCAGTTTCCTGGTTCCAGGTCGTCAATTTGAGCTCCCTAGTTTCAGGTCGTCACTCTTAGCTTACAGGTTGGAAATCTCAAATCAAGGTTTCCAAGCCAGATTCCTCAAGAATAAATCAGACCCCTCTATAACCTATAAAAGCAAGAAGCTGAACCCTTGTGATTTTTCAGCAAGCTTACAAAATCATTGGAGGGGGAGTAATGTTGGGATAGTAATCTAACTAGCCCATAAACAAAATAAAGGCCCATAAGGCCCAAATACAAAGGAGCATGCCCATGAGTCATAATGGAGCTCATATACACTCAAATGGATCCAAAGAGACCAATAGAAGTACAACACGTCTAAAGCACTTCCAAAGGACCTATAAATACTCCTACACCCCTCAAAGGTGAGGACTTTTCTGGGAGCTCTTCTCTCTCTATTATATTTCTCTCTCTAAAGAGAGCCCCAAGTATAGAATATTGCTAATTTGGGCGTCGAAGTGTCTACCCTGAGGAACAACCCTCGGGTCTGTTTTGCAGGTCCCTATGCAGGTCAACTTGTGTCAACTAGATCTTGTGAAGCTGCCCAAACACTTATTTACTGTAATAATTTTTTAAATCAATTAAAATATTTTAAAATCAATTTACATATATCTATCAGCTTTCTTCTCCTTTCACCCAACATGACATTTTTACACTACGGAACATCCTATCCTACTACGCTAGAAAACAAATCAACTTCCGAATTAGTGCGAAATTAAGGGGTGATTCACACAGCTTTTTCCAACTTGATATCTGCATGAAGTTGTCCGTATGGTGTCTGATAAAGATGAGACCTTTATTGGGGTGGGGACCGTCTGGTCTTAGTCTCTTAGACTCGTCTACTTATCTGTCAACCTCCCCGCGCACAGCCAACAAGGTGACAGACAGGAGACAGCCCACCATTGTTAACCTCACATACTTTTCTTCAGCACGTTTCCACGACATCTGTTTTTCTTATTGTTGTTTTATAGGTAAATTTTTTGTTATCTCCAATTTTTGGCTCGAAGTAAATGGTGGACCTCAACCTTCACTTCGATAGTTTTGTAATCCTCACATTTTTGTAACCAAATCAGTCTCTTATTTAATTAGTTACCAAGATTTCAAAATTAATAGGTGTTAATTGGAAATGGATGGGAAAACGATTTTAAGATCTTATGGAAAGGATAAAGGGACGATCTTGTTTTTCAAAAGTTTAAGAATGAGATAAATTAAAAATTTCTCTAAGAACGGTCATGAATACTTTTGAGTTTCGAAAAAGGGAAACATATTTTTAAGAGTGGAAAAAGGACTAAATTTAGTATCTGATATTGGTCAATTGAGGTTGGCTAAAAGTTAAAATGTAATTTTGTTTGGTTAGGTGGTGTGTTTACATGATGTTATATTAGTTTTGTTTTAGCAAAAACTATTGCTAAGCTCCTTGACTTTTTATATATTTTCATAAGCCCTTGAAAAAGTGACTTGTAATTCTATAAATGTCTAAATTTAAATAAATTAGTTCTCGGTATTTTGGCGAGACCATACGTGATCATGCAAGTTAAATAATTATTTATTTTCTTATTTTCTATTAAAAAATATTTAAATATGAAAAAATTATAACACAAGTGAGAAAAAATAAATAATTATTTAACTTACATGATCTCACATAATTATGTTGATAACACAAAGCTAATTTGCTTAAATTTAGACATTTAGGGCCTTACATAATACCTTTTTTTTCTTTAAAGCCACGAGAAAGGGGATAGAGTCTAGACTTAAAAATTGGGCAAAAGTTTACTTTGAGCCCTTCACCGTATCAAATTTGAAGATTTTAGCCCTTCACCTTACTAGATTTGTAGGTTTTAATACCTCACCTTATACTATAATACTTTTAACCCTTTACCTATTAAAATTAAAAAAAATAGTCCTCATTTTGTAACATTTAATTAATTTTGTTAACTGACTGTTAACTTCATTAGTTGACTGTTAACTGATAAAAACCTTCTTTCAGCTAACGAATTTAGCAGAACTAACTTTATAATATTTTGTTAATTTTGTTAACTGATTATTAGTTAGCTGTTAGTTGACAAAAATCTACTTTTAGTTAATAAAGTTAACAGTCAGTATAAAGTGAGGGCTATTTTCTTTGATTTAATAGGTAAGGAGTTAAAACCTACAAATCTAGTAAGGTATGGGATTAAAAGTATTAGAGTATTAGGTAAGGGACTAAAAGTATCAGAGTATAAGGTAAGAGGTTAAAACCTTCAAATTTAGTAAGGTGAGGGACTTAAAGTAGGTTTTTGCCTAAAGATTGAGTGTGAACCACCCAAACCCCCCCTGCGTCGCGGTTTTCTTATGGCAGGGCACGATGTCCTGTAGTTGTTGACATGAAATTTTATTATGAAAAGTAAAGAAATTTTGATATATATATTTCTAGGGTAATTTGGAGTTGTTGGGATTGGGCCCAACATTCAATCTGGGCCACGCCCAATAGGCCCATTCATACATCCACGAGATCCAAATTGTGGAGACACACCCACGTGAGCAGTGACACGTGGTTCAATGGGATGCACGCACACGCAGGCTCATGTCAGTACATGGGGCTATAAATACCCCCAACTACCTCCATGCAAGGTATTAACTCCTCTACGCTTCTCTCTCTGCAATTACTCTTTAGGAGCATCTCTCTTTAGAATATTGAGTATTGCTAACTTGAGCGTCGGAGTGTTTTCCCCGAGGAAACATCCTTGGGAATTTAGGTGTGGGAGCAGTTGAAGGTATCAACAGTGTTGAATCACGAAGCTGCCCAAATATTTGGTGCCGTCTATGGGAAACTGAACAAAAAAGAGCTGCGACTTAACTAGCTCGAGCTGAAAATGGTACGAACCTTCACAGGAAACTGCCCCCCACGAGGCAACATGGACGAGCAGGATAATACTCAGCTTTTGGAAAGTGATTTGAATGACTTCCAACCAATGCCAAGAAACCTTTTCGTGGGAGGAGCAGAACAAGAACAGTCAAATACTTCGGATGATGAACGAACACCCACTAGGTATGCAATCCAACCTGAAGAACAGTTTCATGTCCCCGCAGAAGCCAAGCGAAGGCATCCTAGGCAAAATGCTTCACGACTTGAGAGGTCCATGGAAGCTGCTCGGACGTCCGAGCTAGAAGAAAGAACTAGAGTTTTAGAAATGGCCATAGGAAAAATCCTCTCTCGCTTGATTCCTGATGATCCATTAATCCCTTTCCTAAACAGGGGTGAACAACCTGCTACAGTAGTGGCCACCTGTAATTCTCCAGCTTTAAGTAATGTGGTGGTCCCAACCAAACCAAGGGGAAGTGGAAGGCTAAATCTGGAGCCCAGTTCGTCCAAACACAGTGATGAATTAATAAAGAAAAATGCAGAACTTGAGAAATAGTTAAAAGACATGCAGAGATCTGTTGATGAGCTAAAGAGCCCGAGGTCACGACAACAAGCCTTAGATTTGGATAGTGCTCCTCTCAATCAATCCATTACTGCGGAACCATATCAGGAGGGATTTAAGATTCCCCATTTAGAAACATATGATGGCTTCGGCGACCCGGATGAACATTTACACACTTATCAAGCCATCATGAAGATTCAAAATGTTACCAATGCCATGATGTGCAAAGTATTCCCCGCAACATTGAAATCCACTGCCAGAAGATGGTATCACAAGCTCCCCAGACACTCTGTAGCTTCGTACCCCTAGCTCGCCACTCTTTTTTCTAACAAATTTATGAGCCAGAAGGAGATTAAACGTACCGCTATTGAATTAATGCAAGTTCATCAGAGGGAAAGAGAGACTTTACAAGACTATATGCAAAGATTTAACAAAGCCACCCTGGACATTGATAATGTCCCTGATACCATCTGTTTGTCGGCCCTACTACACGGCTTGAAACCTGGTCGGTTCCTAGACGACCTACTAGAGAATCCACCGAAGTCGTGGAATGAAGTAAATGATAGGTCAACAAGTTTCATACTGTCAGAAGACTTCCAATCGTTTAAACGGCGAGCTAACGATAAACAAAGTAACGAACATAAGCAACCTGAAATAAGGGAAGAGAAGAAAAAGCAGAAGGTGGGCGAACAGAAAGGAAAGCCACCGTCATTCCCGAGATATGCCAATTATATCCCTCTAAGCTCGTTAAGATCTCAAATGTTGGCGCAGATACAGCATTGGGTCAAAAGACCACCTCCTCAGACACATGAATACCTAGGAGCTGACAGGAGCAAGTACTATGACTATCACCGGGGTTACGGTCATAACACAGATGACTGTCAGAGTTTGAAGGACGAGTTGGAATTCTTAGCTTGCAATGGGAAATTGGAAGGATACGTCCAGAAACCTTATGCTCAGCAACCCAATCAGACACACTTTGTGTATGAATATTCCCGATCTCAGGGACAGGGACAAGGATATCAGCTCGGTGGCAACCAAAATCATTACTAGGGGAATCAATATTCATTTGAATCTGCCAGAGCCTACAGGGGACGCCCATTTAACTGATGAGGACAGGGACAGAAACCTTCTGCACAGCATCCAAAAGATCACAAAGGGGTAGGTTACAGAGGGATACCCCCACCGTCTAGCACAATCAACATGATTTCGGGTGGCATGCATTCAGGAGGACAAAGTGCCAGAGGACGTAAGACTTACGCTCGTCAAGTGATGACAGTAGATAAAAACAGACCTCTAAAACGACCATTTGAAGAAGCCGAATGGGAGAACACACCCATCACCTTCAGTCCTGCTGATTATAAACGAACAAGGGAGGAGCCTGATATTATGATGCCCCATGCAGACCCCTTTGTAGCACCAGTGCACATAGGCAATCATAACGTTAACAAAGTCTTCATTGATACAGGTAGCTCTCCGGATATCTTATATTGGAGCTGCTTTCAGAAGATGCAATTAAACCCAGCTTCTATGCATAGATATGAAGGGCCGATATACGGATTTGATAATCAGCCCGTTCAGGTAGAAAGGGTGATCACTCTTCCAATCTATGTAGGTACAGAGCCGCGATTCAGGATGGCGTCTGTCAGCTTCTTGGTGGTTAAGATGGAGTCAGCATACAATGCCATAATTGGGAGAGCCACGCTGTGCAAGCTGAAAGCTGTCATTTCCCAGCCACATCGTTATATGAAATTCCCAACTCCTCAGTGAATATGGGTGCTCAAAGGAAATCAAAAAATGGCTAAAGCATGCTACCAAGACACTTTCAAGAAAGTTGAACTCGCTCCAACGCCAAAAACTCCTTCTCTGGTTACTAGACCAAACCAACCAGGTCTGTAGACGATCAGCATCTCTGACATAGACCACCGTTCAGAGAACGTTGAACAGAAAGCCGAACCAGTTGAGCTAGTAGAAACCATTGCATTAGACCTTGATAATCCAGAAAAGACGGTGAAGATTGGAACTAAGCTCACAGAAAAAGAGAGAACAGAGCTCCTGTAGTTCCTAAAAGCCAACCAAGATGTCTTTGCATGGACAACAGATGAAATGCCTGGAATTTCGACAGAGTTGGCAGTCCATAAGCTTAGCACTAACCCGACCAGAAGACCCGTGGTGCAAAAACGCCGCCTGATGGGCCTAGAGAAGCAAGCAGCAATAGATGAAGAGATACAAAAGTTGTTGCAAGCAGGTTTTATCAGACGGGTTAACTACTCACAATGGGTGTCCAATCCTGTGCTTGTCAAGAAGCCCAATGGCAAGTGGAGAATGTGCATTGACTTCACCAACTTGAATGAGACATGCCCTAAGGACCCCCACGCATTGCCTAATGTTGAAAAGTTGGTAGAACGAGCTGCTGGTCATAAGCGCCTGAGTTTTTTGGATGCCAGTTCCAGGTATCATTAGGTTCAATTGTGGTTGGACGACTAGGAAAAAACAGCATTTTACACTGGGGATGTGATTTATTGCTATGTTATGATGCCATTCGGCTTAAAAAAACGCTGGTGCAACATATTAGAAGTTAGTTCATGTCGTATTTAAGCTTCAAATTAGTAGGAACAGTGAAGTATAAGTCGATGACATGATTGTTACCAGTGTGCGAGCTGAGGATCATATTGACGACCTGAATGAAACATTTCAAAACCTGCGCCGAGCACAGATGCGGTTAAACCCATTAAAATGTACATTTGTTGTAGAATCGGGCAAATTCCTGGGGTATGTGGTGTCCAAGAAAGGAATTGAGGTCAACCCCGATAAGTTTGTGGCTGTGCAGCAGATGGAACCTCCTAAGACTGTGAAATATGTACAGCGTCTAACAGGTCGTCTTGCCGCCCCGCACAGATTCATAGCCAGGTCGGCAGAAAAGTGCCTCCCATTCTTCAGAGCTTTGCGAGAGCCAAAAAGCTTCCAGTGGACGAATGAATGCCAACAAGGCTTCGATGAGCTTAAGCAATACCTGGCATCCCCACCTTTGCTCTCCAAGCCTGTTGAAGGAGAAAGGTTGTACTTATATCTGGGGACAACAGATGAGGCGGTCAGTTCAGTTCTGTTAAGGGAGCAAGATAAACAGCAGAAGCCCATCTACTATATTAGCAAAGTCTTATAAGGTGCAGAACGAAATTATCCTATTGTTGAAAAGGCTGCTTTTGAACTCGTCTGCATCGCCCGAAAGCTGATGGCTTATTTTCAATCTCACGAAATCATTGTCTACACCGACCTACCGCTAAAAAAGATATTGCAGAAACCAGAGCTTTCTGGTCGGCTAATTAGATGGGCGATCGAGCTGAGCGAATACGACCTCAAATTTCAACCACGCACAGCCATCAAGGGTCAAACTTTAGCAGACTTCCTAGTGGAGTGCCACCCGCCAGCTGAAGAAGAAACCTCGCCGAAACACCAGTATGGGCTTTGTTTGTAGATGGGGCTGCGAGCGTTGAAGGATCAGGGGCAAGGACAGTGCTAATATGTCCAAACGGTTTAAAATCTGAGCACGCATTGAGGTTCAGCTTTAAGACCACAAATAACACCGTCGAGTATGAAGAACTCATCTATGGTCTAAAGCTGGTGTCCGTGCTGAAAGCACAACACATAAGAGTCTTCAGTGACTTCCAGCTCATAGTAAACCAAGTAAACGGAAGTTGTGATGTTAGAGATCCTCAGCTCAGCCGCCACGCCCCTGTGGTCAGCAATATGAAGGCAAACTTTACTTCGTTTCGGATTGATAAGATACCAAGGGCAGATAATAGACGAGCTGATGAGTTGTCGAAGTTGGCTTCGTTGCAAGATATCAATCCTCATAGGACGACAGTTGTTGAGATCCTAGATGCACCGAGCTACATTGACTTGGGGGACGAGTGCCTGGTGTTGAGTACATATCCCTCATCGCTGAGCTGGACTACGCCGCTGATTAATTACTTGCGAAATGGTGAATTGCCTGAGGATCCATCCGATGCTTGATTGTTTAGGCGTAGGGCGGCACATTTTACCCTGATTAACGACCAGTTGTATAAGTGAGTGGCTTCAATGCCCCTACTACGTTGTCTTGCTCCCTATGAAGCTGAATACGCGATGAGAGAGGTTCATGAAGGAGTATGTGGCACGCATATAAGAGGAAAGACCCTAGCTTGTAAAATTTTAAGACAGGGGTTTTATTGGCCTACCATGGTTGAAGACGCACAAGGTTACGTTAAAAAGTGCCCGACCTGCCAATTTACCGTTGATGACATTCACATGCCAGGTATTTGAACTCGTCCAAAGCTTTGCATAACCCCCGTTTGTCTTTAAACTAAACAAAAATATCCTCATACATAGGGGAAATGTTATCTTCTCTCACGTCGCCCTGGCCTTTCGCTCAATGGGGCGTTGATCTCCTTGGACCCTTTATCAAAGGCAAAGGAGGCTGTACACACCTTATTGTCGCTGTGGATTACTTTACTAAATGGATAGAAGCCAAACCATTATCCATGACAAGTTGACAACTAAAAGGAAGATTGAGGAACTTCTATTTAATTCCATTTTGTGCAGGTATTCTTCAGTCGATTAAACCTTATATATTGTGTTTACACATTCAGTGGCTCAGCCAAACCGTTTATGCACAGGTTTGGTATTCCCAGACGAATCATTGTCGATAATGGACCTCAATTTCGAGTTGCGGCCCTCAGGTCGTTTTGTAATGATTATGGTATTGAGCTCTCCCTCACGTCTGTGTACACCCCACAATCCAACGGACAGGCAGAGTCAGCTAATAAGATAGTTCTGCGATGACTTAAGACACATGTCCTAGCCGCACACTCCAATTGGGTTGACGAGCTCAACAAAGTATTATGGTCATGTCGTACAACTCCCAACTCGGCTATTGGAGAAACCCCATTCTCCCTTGCTTGTGGGACTGAGGTTGTTCTTCCTGTGGAAGTAGGTTTATCCACTAATCAATCTGCCCGGCATGATCATCCTGATAACGAGCAATTCCTCAGAGAAAACCTAGACCTAGTGGAGGAGGTTAGGGAAGCATCTAGGATTAAAAACATGGTGTATCAAGGCCGCGTCGCCAGGTTTTACAATAAGCGAGTGCGAGCTCGCCAGTTTCAGGTTGGTGACTTAGTGTTACGGAAGGTTGGACTCACTAATGCGTATTCACACATGGGCAAGCTTGCTCCTAATTGGGAAGGTCCTTGCATGGTTACTCAAATTAAGCGACCTGGGTCTTACATTTTAGCAGATTCACAAGGTCGGCGGTTACCATTCACGTTGAACGTTCATAATCTTAGGAAATATTACAGTTAATTTGTGTTGTTTCTTAACATATGGAAAGGTTGGACAATGTGTGAATGCAATGCAAATAGTACACACAATATTCTAAAAAATTGTCTAGTTGTATTTCTTGCAAATGTGTTACATGTAGTATCAAAGCAAGTACAAAATCTGTCATAAACAAGGAAATATTAAAACTACAAAGGCAAATGGAAAATATATATATATATATATATAAAAAACTAATCTTAATCATCCGTTAAATCAACGAGCATGGACGCGTCAACACGAGCTGGAGAAGGGATGGTAGCAGCGGGGACGGGTTAAGGTGCAGGGGGAGTGCTTGAGGGTTCAGCTTCTTCTGTAGGCGCGTCACCCACCCAGGAGTCGAACCTAGGCAGGTTCTCAAAATCTTCTCCCTTTTCTAAAATAGATGGAGGCCATATAGGCACTCCATCTTCGTTTAGATCCCACCGGAGTCACATTGTCATGTCAGCAGGGGAAGCAAGGCTCTTCCCCTCTTCATCAAACTCGTCACCCTCAAAGAACGCCAGCTCACCGATCGGAAAGTCTGGTTAGTGCTTCAACACTTTCCCACGAACGTCATTGTAAATCTATGTCATGGTGTTCATGGAAGCCACAGCAACGGCATCCTTGAACATGTCAGCACCCACCAGCCACTTCGCGCCTTGAGCTCGCGCGATGCTTATGCAGCGCTAGTGTTGAGTTTTGGCCTTCCTCAGCCCCTCCTCTGCGCGAGCAAGGTCCTGATCAGCCACTGCTACCCGCTGTCTAAGAGTGTTGAGGTCGTTTAGAGCGTTGTCTCTTTCCGCTTCAGCCTTCTTCGCGCGATCCACCGCACGAACGACCTCATCCATGGCTGCCTGGATCCCACTCTCCTTTTCGGCCTAAACCTTCTCCAGCTCCTCCTTTAGCTGGTTGACTTTGTTGGCCAACTCATCAGCCCAGCTCTAGGCTAATGCAGCCCTGCTGGCCATCTTTGAGCTTTGCAAACGATTCACCTTATCCTCCAAGCTCGCCTTGTCAGATGTCAACTGCTTGCAAGTGTTAGTCAGCTCGCAATTTTGGCCGCGAGCTGCCTGTTCACTCTCGAACAAAGCCATTGAGTAGTTTAACGCCTGTAATAACATCTCTACAATCAGCATTTATTACACAGAATACAACATATAACATGATTGCTTAATAAAATACTCACATCCATCAATTTCAACATAGCAGCATGACTCCCGTGCTGCTGAATGTAACCCTTGGCGCGTTGACGGTCCACAAGTGGGACGAAATTCTGCATACCCTGGACCATGGCGACTTGACAGTTCGCTTTTGTATAGCTAAAACCCTCAGGTATGCGATTCTGGGGCCCACGCTAGCTGCTGGTGTGGGTAACGCCTCAGCAGTGTTGCGCGCCTGGGCAGCAGGCGCGTCAGGTGAGCGCACCGCTCCAGATTGACTCCTAGAGTTCAATCTGCATCGAATCAGTGGTACGTCATCTTTAGCGTCGGAGTCTTCACGAGCACGCCTCCGAGTCTCAACAGAAACGGCTTCAACTCTCCGCTCAGCATGTGGCCGTGAAGCCGAGCTAAAGCCTCGCTCCCTTTGCGACGAGCTACGAGGAGCTGCAGGCGGCCGCTCGTCAAAGTGCGTTTGCCTTTGCATGCTAGACCCAGCCCCTCTAGCTCGTGAGCACTGAGCTCGTGAGCGTTGAGTTCGTGAGCGCTGAGCCCATTCGTGTTGTCTCTCGAGCATGCTACTCATCTCTCATGCACAAACAAATACAATAAGACTCAGATCGTGAAAAACTATAATTTACAATATAATGTACCTTCACTGAACAGGTTTGTGACATCCACAAACCCACACACAGCGAGCACCTCAGGGGTAACCAGGGCCTCCAAATCAACTAACCCCACCGTCTTTACATAGTTCGTTATTCTATCCTTAGCCCCAGGTCATCAGAAGTTAGCGTGGGGTAGTTCATGTACGTATGCCCTAAGCGCCATCCAGAGAGGCGAGCTGCCAGATCGTTGCTGACCCTCTCTGTTCGTGTATCCTGGACAAAAATAAATTGTCTCTTCCATCAAGATACTTTATTCCTAACATTCGTAAAAATCGTCATTTTCTCGCTCCCAGATATGTAGTACCACCTCATTTGAGTGATACTCAACTGGCACAAGAACAACGATCTGAACACAATTGCCTTCGCAAGAATCTCTAACCTTGCACACAACAGCATAAATCCTATGATAAATTTTATGCTATTAGGGGTCAACTGTGTCAACGCCAGCTCGTACTCTGCGAGCACGTCAAAAATTAGCCTGGGCAAAGGGAATCGCAGGCTGGCATCGAAGTGGTCCACATACACGGGTATCCACCCTGTTGGCAACACTGTGTAGGTCTTTTCGTTTTTTGTGCCAGTTCGGAGCAAAATTGTCCTGGGGACGTGATACTGCCTCACTATTTCCTCCAGTCTTTTATATCCTTTAATTGAGGTCGCACAATCTGCTATCTCGTGATGAAGGTTTGCCCTAAACCTAAATCCGGCAGCCAATGTATGTGGGGCTTTGCGAAGATTGCTCAGCCTACCACTTATAATCTTATTCTCGCAACCTACAACCATAGGCACATTCACATTCACCTCCACACTTTCCGGCGAGGGACTACTTACGCCCTCCCCCACATCTTCTCCATCACTGGGAGTCTTTTCTGATGATGACCCTTCAGATGACGAAGAACAATTAACACCGGAGCCCTCATGTGCACTCGAACTGGCACTGCTCTCGGGTGTAAGGGTTTCTGAAAAGTCTTGCAGTTCTGACAGTACAATCATCGCAATCGGCTCTACGGACATAACACCCTCTTCCTCTTCCATGCCCTGGTTACCCCGAAGTTCTCCAACTTCTCTAAAAAATTCCATTTGTTATTACCTGAAAGGGTTGAATCTAAAGTAAAGTCCTCTGAAAATTTCGCCTGAAAAGCTTTTGAGTCTTTCGTTGCAGAAAAGCACAAAGAATATGGAAACAGAAATGCCAAAGAAGAAAGAGAAATGACAGGGGGGTTAAGCGACCGTGCCCACGATTACCGTACGCACCTCTCTGCCAGCCAATCAAAATTCTACACGTGGTAGCTATTTATTGCCTGGCGTGTAACGTCCGCCGGCTTTAGCTGTCACGTATCTTCAAACGTTGAGCCAGCATTTATTATGGGGGGCTGAGGAATACTAACCGCTCTGAACCATATCTCTTCAGAGATTTCGTTTTGCATTGAAATTTAAATTTCAAAATTGACAAGGATCAGGTCGTAACAAATCACGCCTCCCACATATTTCCAAATCTCAGAGATCAGGTCGTAACAAGCCAGAGATTCACCTCAATTTTGAATATCGAAGAATACCGGACATTAGATCGTTACCAATTCCTTCAGTTTATTCTCTTGATAGTAGGACGACCTCAATATATAAAATCTTTAAGGGTTGGAATGGCTCAGCTCGTCCACCGTCTGCTCGCCTGCACGCTGCTATAGGCGAGCTCACTACATAACGTATTGTACCCGATAAACGACGCACGCTTGGCCAAGAGACTTTACCCGTCTCAAACCTATCTCATTTAGAAATAGGAAATCCATCATGTGAGCTCGCCTTTACAAGCTCGTTGGCAAACACCAAACCCGCATAACTCGTTTCGACAGCAGTTTCCCTGCACACATTCAGTATAAAGGAAGCATATCTATACACGCCCGACGAGGCCGCCTAATTCAGCCAAGGGCTAGATCACTCATTAAAATCTGAAGGGGTTTACCCTTCACCTTTCACACAGAATGTTGGGCTAATAAAACCTTCATCCCAGTTCGTCAACCGAACGTTGATGGGGGAGTAATGTTGGAATTGGGCGCAACATTCAATCTGGGCCACGCCCAATAGGCCCATTCATACATCCACGAGATCCAAATTGTGGAGACACACCCACGTGAGCAGTGACACGTGGTCCAATGGGATGCACGCACATGCAGGCTCATTTCAGTACATCGGGCTATAAATACCCCCAACTACCTTCATGCAAGGTATTAACTCCTCTACGCTTCTCTCTCTGCAATTACTCTTTGGGAGCATCTCTTTCTAGAATATTGAGTATTGCTAACTTGAGCGTCAAAGTGTTTTCCCCGAGGAAACATCATCGAGAATTTCAGGTGTGGAAGCAGCTGAAGATATCAACAGTGTTGGATCACGAAGCTGCCCAAACAGGAGTAATATAAAGTTTCTAAATTAAAGAATTAAAGTGATAATAACAAATAATTAATAAATTAAACATTAAATTTAACGGGTGAGAAACAAATATCTACTTGTCTCGTTTTCTAAAATGGAAAAAATGGAGGGCTACCGAAAGAGTCAACTAGATGAAATCAATTTTCAACTTTCTTCACTAATTAAAAGGAGAGGTGTAGGCATTTCACGTGCCGTGGCCCAGTGGCCACTTGCTGCCCCAAAGGGCAGCTCGTGGTTTGCACTCACAAGTCCTGGGTCCAATACTCCCCACTAACATCTCTAACATACTAACCTCTAACCATTGCCTTTATCAACAAAAATAAAAAATAAAACGAGAGCTGTAGATTTATGCTATGATCTTCATATTCATATAACTACTCCAACTCATGCAAAACTAGAATAATGGAGTCCTTGTACCAGTAGTTCAGTTGACTGGTAATATACAATAAAAATTTTGACTTATATCAAAATTTAAGCCTGAATAAAAACAATTACAATATTTTCCCTCTTTCCAAAATTTCCCTTGTTAAAAAAATAATAATAATGAAGTCCCCGGCATATCTACGTCTTTCGGCTCTCTCCTGAATGGTACTAATATATGTAGCCCAAGATAATTACATATCTCTCCTGGCACTATTATATGCAATTTTATACGTATCTTTCTTGAATGGCACTATTATATATAATTAAATAATAAGTAATTTAATTTAATTTATAATTTAAAATAATAATTTGTTTCTATTTTTCTTAGCAAAAACCCCTCCTTAATTTGCCTTTCAATTTTTTTAGTACGAGATATTTTATCCCTTAATTTATAATTTATAATTTTTTATCCTCTAATTTTTCATATTTATGAAAATAAAATAAAATTTAATATCAGAGCTTCACATGCACTATGTGCGTGTTATATTGCGGTTAAGTCTTTCTTAGTCACTGTCACCACTGTAAAAAAAATAATCATGTGGCAAGTGTTATGCGACATAAAATCTCATTTCAAACTCAAAAATATTTAAATAAATTAAAAAATAAATTTTAAATGACGCATGACAGATAGCAATTGATCAAATGAAGTTAAAATTATTTAACATTAATTGAATATTTAAAAAATAAACTAAATAAATTAAATTACACATTTATCCTCTCATCATCGTCCCTTTCGTTCAATCTCTTCCTTCTCAGGATCTCCATCTCCGGCAAACCCTAACCATTGCAGACCAGATAATCGCATGGCTCAGGCACTGAAAAAGGCACAGTCGGAGGGAAAGTCTCTGAAAAGCTTTATATTCGCCGTTAATCTCCAGGTTCTGGGGAAAGACTACCACAGCGCCGTGTTTTATTTTGCTACAGAAGATCCTATCCCGTACAGATCGTTGCTCTACTGGTTTATCAACGGAGATGACGCTTTTCGAAATCAACGGTTCAAGATTGTTAACTGCATCATGAAAGGGCCATGGATCATGAAGAAAGCAGTGGGGAATTACAGTGTGTGCTTGTTAGGTAAGGCCTTGACCTATAATTGTCACAGAGGAGCCAGTTATTTGGAGATCGATGTCGATATCTCGAGCTCGGCAATCACTATTGCGATTTTACACCTGGCATTCGGATATGTGACGAGTGTGACCATCAATATGGGGTCGTGGTGGAGGCGCAGACCGAGGACAAGTTACCGGAAAGGTTAATTGATGCGGTTAGGGTTTGTCAAATGGAGATGTCGTTTGCGATGGTTGTTGAGACTTTGACGACAAATTAATACAAACAAGCGCAGACCGGCTTGAGTTTGCTAGAGATGGAGATCCTGGGAAGGAAGAGATTGAACGGAAGGGATGCTGATGAGAGGAGAAACATGTAATTTAACTTATTTAGTTTCTTTCGTAAATATTCAATTAATCTTAAATAATGCTAACTTCATTTAACTAATTATTATGTGTCGTGTGTCATTTAAAATTTATTTATTAATCTATTTAAATATTTTTTAGTTTGAAATGGAAATACATGCCAACACTTGCCACATGGACACTGATTAGGAAAGACTTAAGGTTAAGTGGTAATTTTGATCTTTCAACTTAAGATTTTGTATATTTTTTATTTTTTATTTTTTTTTATGTTTTTTTTGTCTCTTAACTACAAAAAATATATTTTTTTAGTTTTTTGTAAGTTAATCGCTTAAGTTTATTTAAATTTACACATTTGTAGTCCTTCAACTTAAAGTTAAGGGATGAAAAATATGTATATATTATAAGTTGAGGATTAAAAATATGCAGATTCAAATAAACTTAATAGATTAACTGACGGAATGACTAAAAAAATATAATTTTCATTATTAAGAGACCAAAAAAGTGCAAAAAAAAATTAAGAGATGAAAATTATATAAAATTTTAAAATTGAGAGTTCAAAATTAATATTTAATTAAGACATAATGTCAATATAACACACTTGATGCATGTGAGGCTCTTACGTTAAATTTTGCATTATTTTTATAAACTTGAAAAATTGGAGGGTACAAAATCATAAATTGTAAATTGAGAGGTAAAGTGTCTCATACTTGAAAAGTGGAAGGGCAAAGTGGGGTTTTTGCCTACTTTTCTTTTAAAGATAAATCTGTCCTTACCATTTTATTTGAAGGGCAAATTTAAAAATTCCATGATTTTATGACGTGGCACAAGTTTAACATTGTAGCTTGCTATAAGTTACATTCAAAAAATGAAATTTTGGGATGTGATTCAAAAATCTAAATATAAGAATCTTGAGCCCCTCCCTCCTTATCTTTCTCATCACTGAATAAATATCCAATGAATTTTTTAAAATCAAAATTTAATTATATCTGACTATATATTTTATTATATTATGACAATTATTAAATTTTTAATAAATCTCGAATAAAATCTAATTTATCTCTTAAAATCGTCAATAAATGATTATAAATATAATTATATTTTTAATTATCAACATCTCAATTTGATTTCACAAATTAATTAGGTAGAAGAAAAAAAACATAAACTCAATAACTTCTTTTTTTTTTTTAACATTTAAATTCCAAATTGTTTCAACAACTTTAAGTATATAATAGTTCAAATTCAAATTCAATTATATATATCCTACTATATTATAATAATGCTTAATAATACTTTAATTATATCAAATTTCTTACCAATTGTTTTCAAATTTGGCTTCTTATATAATACATAACTTCTAAATCTACGTTTTATTAAAGTTGAAAATAACTTACTCAACTATATAATTTGACTTTTACTTTAATTATATATTATGTTTAGTGTTTGTATATATAATCTTATATTATACCAAAAGGGGAATTTGCAAATTGATTCTTATTTGCTCTATTATTCTTGGACTAAGGGAATAATAATTAAAATGTAAATAATTTTGGATAAATGTATTTTTTAATAATGATTACTAAAATATTAAGAATTATGAATTGATACAAATTACAACATACAATTGATGTGAATATAGAATAACACCTACAAGGACACTAAAAATAAAGAAAGAGATTGTGAGAAACCTAAAAATGTTTGGAAGAGGGAGAGAGAGATTTTGTAGTAAAAATAGTGTACAATAATAATAGAGATGTAAAGAGTGACTAAGAAGTGACTAAGAAACAATAATATTGAAGGAATAGGAATGATGGAAGAAAATTAACAACAATATATATATATATATATATGTATATGTGTATGTATGTATATGTGTAGAAATTCACTTATACATAAATTTTATACATCATATTTACATTAAATTTTAACCATTCATCCATATATATATATAGAGAGAGAGAGAAAGTAGAGTAGATAGATAAATGTAATGATAAAATGTGAAAACAAAATAAAAGATAAAATCTCAAGAAAAATTAATGAAAAGTGAAGTATAGATAAGTGAAAAAATGCCACAAGGAAAAAATGATGTAAAAAAGATACACATTTTGATAAATAGAGATTTAAAAGAATGACTAAAAAAGAATAATAGAGATGAGAGGAGAATAAGAACATGAGTAATAAAAAATAAATTACTAATATAAAGAGAAAAAAAGAAAAAAATAATGTATTCTCTTTACCTTGTATTGATTAAAATTTATAATTTTCTTGGTATGTATATAAATCTATTATATATAGTACCTAATTATTTGTGATTTTAAGATATTTATTTGTTAGGAAAAT